GCCAAGTGTCAGTGATGTGTGTTGCTCCATAGACAACAGTGAAAAGAAGTGCCCTTGAGAGAGTTTGAAAAGGCCTTGTCTGAAGACATTATTTTGATCTTTGACAATGATTTCACAAAATATGTCGATATACTGTTTCCAGGGGTGTGGCTACATGCGGGACCCACCTTTGAAATAAGCCTCGCATTAAAAAGCCCTTGTGTGAATGCTAGCTTACACAAGTATAACATTAAACAATAATAAGAGTATAATAATAGTCATTATTGCGTTCAGAGTAATCGAGCTGTTCATTATTCAGTATACTCTGTCTTTTGTTGAATTAAATTATACCAACATGCTAGCTGCCAATGCTAGGTCCATGAACCTGTTCGTACATCAAATTTGATGTTTCTCTATCTTTGTGATAATACAGCGCAGAAATACAATGAAAAAATGTCCTGAGCCTGTAGAGTCGCCCTTTCGATGCTATCTGAGATCATAAGTGACTCACATCTGAAGTTATGAGGCTATGAAGAGAGTTTCAGGATAATGAAGGACGTCATCAGCCTCTCTTTGTGTATAATTGGTGAATTCGGTGTGTTTGTCTACATTTTGTGTGAAACTGACCAATGGACGCTCAGGAAATCACTAAGGACCTACCGACATGTTGGAAACCCTTTAGTCGACATTGGAGACACATGTGAAGTGGTGTGCAAAGAGTTTACAGCCATTGAAAATGCTGCAGCAGTTGTGGAAAGCAACGAAGATATCAAAGCATTTAGATATGAAACATATGGGTATCATATTATAGACATGTGCCATTAAAGGTGAATCTAAGAAGACATGCAAAAATGGAAAAAATGCACTTATATATTTATTTTAAGCCTAAAACCGCTAGGAATGAGACAACAAGTTAGCAACAAGTTGTTACTATTTTCTCTGGATATCTGAAGAATATGCTATTTATTGTGTTCTTGTTTACTTTGCTGTATCAAACTTGGAAAACTGAGTTCAAATGAAGAGAAAGGGAAAGGTTCTCAGGTTTCTTCTCAAAAATGGAGAGACTAAAAAGAAAAGGAAGAAACTATGGAAGAGGTGGCTGTGACAGAGACAAGCAGAGAGCTAATGGACGGAAAAGAGAGTGAAGTGGAGGAAGAGGAGGCTGGAGAGGAGTCTGAAGTGAAAGAAAAAGACTGATGTAGAGACAGAGGAGGCTGATATGCAGGGAGAGATGGATGTAGAAGGAGGACAGCGGTGTCAAGGCAGCACCAAGTTGTGAGGGACCCCATGGTATGCTAATCATTTTCCCTAATCACTGCACACAGAACAGCTGGAACAACAGAATCTTTTTTTCAATAAATGATTGCTTGAAGATGCATGATTTTGACACAGTCAGTGCACATTTTTATATTTAGTGTCAACTTGGAACTGTAGAGCAAATATGAAGCCAATAAAGTCTTATTTTTATGTAGTGATTCATTTCACCCCAAATGACAAATCAGATAATCAGCAAATGTAACACTATATTGTACAGAATTAGGCAGTGCCACCTCCTAGAGTGCTTTTGCCCCCCTTATGCCACTCATGTCTAAAATTCTGGACAAGCCTTTGACTGTTTCAGATCTTCATTTTTTTGACACTGAATTGATGTGGTTGACTAGTGCTATTATTTTCCTACTGCAGTGTTTGAACCACACTTAGCAAACACCTTATTTAATACACTCTTATACCTTATATCTATTAAGTGCTGAATATGATGAAAGATATGTGAGGAAATGCACAGGGGAATGAACGTTCAGTATGCAAAAGAGGTTGAGGAATTGCATGAGGCTGAAAGTACGTCTGCAAGAGAGTAAAAGGCTGAAAGTTCGTCCGTGAACTCAACGTTCAGCCCACCCACGGATCCGTCATGCCTGTGCAAAAGATCTATGAAGACAGTTCAAGACTGGTTTATTGTGTGTACATTTGTCTTTTTCACTCCCTACCTACAGAAGCAAGAGCAAGCACTAATATTTTCCACTCACATATCAATACATTTTAATAGGTACCAAAGATAAAGAAATGTTCTTGTAAAGGTGGCCTGAACAAGTGGATTCATGTGGGCCCATGCGAGCATGCGTGAGTGAGTTTTGGTAGTTCAAATGCCTCTAAAAATCCATTACACCTACACAATTATTGGCACCCCTGGTAAAGATGAGCAAGAAGGGTTATAAGAAATTTACCTTTTGATGAACTAACTCCATCACATCTCACATCCAACCTTTAATTGAAGAACATATTTTCTGAGAAAAAAAAAGTGTGACACTTATTGCCTCCGTTGCATTTAATACTTTATATAACCTCACTTTGCCAAGAAAACAGCACAAAACCTTTAAAGAGGGTTTTGAGACCATTCCTCTTTACAGTATCTCTCCAGATTGCCCAGGGTCCCAGGTCCTCTCCTGTGCACTCTCCTCTTTAGCTTGCATCACAGGTTTTCTATGGGGTTTAGATCAGAGGACTGAGATGGCCATGGCAGAAGCTTGACTTTGTGTTCACTGAACCATTTTGTGTTGATCTGGACATATGTTTTGGATCATTGTCCTGCTGGAGGATTCAGCGACGACCCATTTTTAGTTTCTTGGCTGAGGCAGACAGATTTTGATGTAAAATGTCCTGGTATTTCATGGAGTCCATGATGCCATGTACCCTAACAAGGTTCCCAGGGACATCATCACAGGCTCTCCACCATACTTAACAGTGGGCATCAGGTCATTTCAGTGTAGTCATCCTTCTTTTCACAACAAACCTGCCTTGAATGCTTGTTGTTTTTGTTTCATCTGATCATAGAACACAAGTCCCAGTGGCATTTAGCAAAATCTAGGTGCTTACGTTTGTGGTTAGATGACAGGAAAGGCTTTTTCCTGGCATGCCTTCCATATAATCTATTGGCATGGAGGTGGCATCTGATGGTAGTTTTGGAGACTTGGTGCATCCAAGATTTTTTTGCTTTTTTCTGTGACTCTCCAACAGTGATCCTTGGCGATTATTTTGCTCTTTGTCACAGTTCCAGTTGGAACTTTTTAAGTATTGCCCTAACTGTAGATATGGGCATTTTCAGTTGAGCAGCTATTTTGTTATAGCCATTCTCTGATTTAGGAGGGTCAACAGACTTTCTCTTATTTGAATTATGTGTTCTCTTGTCTTTCCCATGTTGAAGATTGACTAAAGGAATTTTGAGAATTCCCAAGAGTGCCAATAATTGCAGCACATGTGGTTTTCAAAAGAATGTATTATTTAAAAAAGATCTCAGAATAAATTTATTTCAATTAAAGGTTGGATTCTTCTGAATGTTTCAGTGTGAGTATAAGCTAGTTCACCAAAAGGTGAATTTATTATAACTTTTCTTACTGATCTTTACCAGGGGTGCCAATAATTGTGGAGGGGACTGTATGTATTGTACATTAAAATGTATAGGTCTTGAGGTAATCTCTTCTGAAAGAGTGAGAAAAGAGTGAAACTTTTCAGTGGATTTCATGTTACTAAACTCCAATTCAATCTCCAAACAAATAAATAAAAAAACAGAAATAGCACATTTTCTCTCCTCAGTTTTATCCATGAAATCCATGTAAAAATCCCACAGAGACTGCCACTGTGAGTGTGTGCAGAATGGAACGTGATGCTGTCATCGCTTTGTCAGTAAAATTTCCACAAACTAGAAATGAAGCTAAGAGCACCACTAGGGGTTATACCTGACCCCACTGCTGAACATAAAAGCTTAAGGCCATTAAAATATGTGAATTTTGATCTGTTAATCCCTGTTTTCTGAAACTTGCCATCACAGAAATATGTTAAGTTGTTGTGAAACGAGTCAAATTTCCTTTCAAGTTGAAAAGAGGACAGTGAGATGTCAAAGAAGTCGGTATCAGCCAGGCTTGTTATCAAGCCCACTGACAGCCTTGGAAGAGAATGTCTCTGCTCATGAATGTTTGATCACTTGTGATGATTTGTCTCAGAATCTGGAAGAGCTCAAACGTCAGCCATAGACGAATGCCTGCTGGGTTTGAACCTGCTTTACTTCCACTGAAAGGGTCAAAGACCACTAGGACACTTTAAAGCAATGCAGAGTGCCAATGCTGTCAATATTAGGTCCATTTTCTGTCAGTTATAATGTACTCTATGGCCAAAAGTATGTGGACACCTGACCATCACACTGTATGAGCTTGTTGGACATCTCATGTCAAAACCATGGGCAATAATACAGAGTTGGCCCACCTTTATCATGGATAACATTACTGCTGTGATTTGGTTACAGGCGTGCGACAGCGTTATGTACTACAGATCATAACAGCCATGATGTTATTTGTGATAGCACATAGTCTCTATTGATTGCAATGTAACAGTTCTACAAAACAAAGAAATAAGTCAAACAAAGAAACCTAAACCACTGTATTAAATGCTTTAATATTGGCAACTCCTTCCGCCAAGAAAAGTAGTACCTTTTGAAAAGAACCATAAAACTGTCACAATATCAGGTTCAGCTCAGCTTTTGCAGTATTTGCCAGATTATGTTGAAAGTTTTTTCCAATCAGTCTGTAAATCATTTCACAGCCCATCATGTTGGCTGAATTGTATTCTGTTAATGTCTGGCAACATTCTGCAACATTCTTCTGAATCTGCAACATTCTTCTGAATCTGACCAAACAGGCTGCAGGTCAACTATTCTCTTTTAGAATCTCTTTTAGTTATTTAATGTCTCATTTTTATTATTTTTTTTTGTATATATTAAAATAAAAACTAGTAATGATTAATGTGAGCTGCAGCGTAAATGGAGTAAATAACAGTACAACATTTCTCAACCAATCAAATTATGTTGTCAGAACTAACTGTTTAGTTTTAACTGTTGTATACAATAAGAAAATGTATTAATGTAATGAGTGATTCAAAAATGACTGAGCAATAGTGTGTGGTATATAAAAAATAGATGTATTTAATGTGCTTGTTAAATAGGAGGTCAAGGAACAGTGGGGGCTCAGCAGTACCTGTAGTTGTTTTTCTCGCTGCCGATGTTGAAGTGGTCATACTGGGAAAAGGCCTGATGTCCATCCCAGTCGGTCAGCTCCACGCGGAGAGCATACTGCCTTTGACTGGTCAGCATGTACACAAACTCGTTCCCCAGCCAGTGCTCAGCCGACACACTCCCAAAGCCCTGCAAAAGAGAGCGCGCCCAGGTCACTGCAGGAATTCGGCAGGGTTAGTGACGAACCCTGGAGGAGGCCATGGGAACCACAGGCCGGTCCAAGAGAGCGCAGGAACCAGCAACAACAACCAACTCTCCATTTATCTTTTTTTCCTTCTTTCCTTTCCCTAAGCTTATAATTGCATAAATTCAGGGATGAGCTGACATACAATAGAACCAATGCTCATTGACCTACCTTAGGTCTTTAATGCCTGCTTAAAAAAAAATCTATATTTTTATATATATATATATATATATATATATATATATATATATATATATATATATATACACAATTATTATTAATTATTATTATTATTGACATGCTACTACTACTACTACTACTACTAATAATAATAATAATAATAATAATCATATTGTAAACAGAGCAGCAGCATTCAACATTGCATGTTTTTTGCATTCATCATTTAATTGGTAGGTGTAAATGATCATTAGACATGACAGAACAGATCAGGTGTGGAAGAAACGCTGCTGATCTGCAAAACGCACAAATAAACTCACCTCCAACAAGATGGCTAAGCATGTAGCCTAATTCTAGCTAATGATCACTATGGCTAGCATATAACACTAAAGCTAGCTAGTCAGTGAAACTCTAGTGAACAACTTTGTGTGCTTATAATAAAAATCATAATAAATATAATAATTACAATTTAAATTTGAAATCAAATTTAAAAGATTTGGGCAGTATTGTAAATGAGGGCACTATTCACCCTAAAGGTCTAACTTTATATTTCAACATATTTGCCACAACTCCTCCATAATATTGTATTTTAACATTTCTTGTACAACTTAATGCGGCACTATGTAAGATTCGAGGATTTGGAGACATCTCTGGTGGAAATGTGTAATTGCACACAATATGAAGAGGAACATTTTATAACATGGGTTGTAACTCAGACTCCTTCCCCAAGTGGACAAATCTGATGTTTGTGAGTGTGTTGAAATTCAAAGAGAACTCAGGCAAAACTTGATGAAGGACATGTCTTCTGAAGATGAAAGTGAATTGTGTACTATTGTCATCATATCTTCATGTTGATGTTGATGGTAGCATGAACATGGCAGAAATGAATCACAAGGACACAAAACAAGTTCCTTAATACCTCATATATCATCCAAATACAAGTAACTACAGCCCTCTCCTTTCCCTCTTTGTTTTCTGGTGACTTGCACAATGTTATACTGCTATTGCAGTTTACATACAGTTTGCACAGTTCATCCACTCAGGACTGAGTATTTACTCAGTATTTGTTGTTGGTTTTGAGTCTAGTTGTGTATTTATTGTACCGTAAGTTATAACTGTACTGTGTAGTCTGTCTCTTGGTCACTTGTACTGTGTGGTTCAGTAAACACTGTCTCTGTCTTGTATGTTGTTCCACTGTATATTTGTATACGGTTGGAACAACAAAAAATTCGTCTTGATTTTTATCTTCTCCTTTTCTCTTGTTTCATAAGAGACTCAAGCAATCAGTAAAGCATTATGAAGACCAACCAAACAACAGTCATCTGCGTTAATAAGACTGAGATATGATGTCAAACGTAATGTAGAGGAACAACTAATATGCAAAACAAATCATTCTGTCCCACAGCCACAGTCTTACCAATGCATAATGCGCTACACACATGCAACAGTTTATGCTGCTTCTCGTGAGCAGGGCTTTTGCGATTCTCATTTGTGTCATCACTTTGTCATTACTCCTAATCTCCTAATATAACAGTCAGGACTCCCCTCTCAATAGAACTTGCGATTACTTCCCATGTGTGCACTGTACCGGCTCAGCTCATTAAAGGGGCTGGAAAGGCTTCTGAATCATGTCTTAATGCAGCACAGGTGCTAGCAACAGTAATTACACCCAGTCCAGCAGCAGATCAAACCACAGCCCCCTTTTTTGAATGGACTGTACCTGTTTATGGCACCCTAAATGAAGACCATATGGCTCTGGAACACTCAGCACCTTTTCCTTCATTCTCTGTCTTTAGGGGAAATAAATGAGTAATCCTTCATCACATACAGAAGAAATAAGTTGCTCTTATTGTTTTAACAATGACAGTTTATAGATGATTCCAATGATGTTCGACACAGACAATATGTTTTAACAAAGACTACTCTTGATTTTCTCTGTACACTATATGGCAAAAAGTATGTAGACACCTGACCATCACACCTATATGAACTTGTTGGACATTCCGTTTCAGCCACCCCCCTGCTGCTTCCTGCCTCCACACGTCTTGGAAGGCTTCCTGCAAGTTTTCTGAGGTGAGTGAGTTTGTGTCTGTCCAGTCAAAAGAGCATTTGTGAGGTCAGTCACTGATGTTGGACAAAAAGTCCCGGCCCATAATTCTAAATCATCCCAAAGATGTGCAGTGGGGTTGAGATCGTGGCTCTGTGCAGGCCACTGGAGTTCCTCCACACCAAACTCATCAAACCTTGTTTTCATGCACCTCAATGTGTGTGGCACAGTCATGCTGGAACATAAAAGGTCTTTCCCCAAACTGTTGCTGCATATAATTCATAAATACAAAGTTGGAAGCATATAATTATCTAAAATGTCTTTGAATGCTGTAGCTGTAACATTACATTCACTGAAGCTAAGGGGCCCAAACCATGAAATATACACTGGCCAAGACCATTATACCTCCTCCACCAAACTTTACTAATTACACTAAGCAGTCCGATAGGTAGTGTTCTTCTGGCATCCAACAAAATTCATCTGTCAGACTACCAGATAGTGGAGCATGATTCATCACTCAAAAGAACATGTGTGCTTTACACCACTCCAAACGATGCTTAGCATTAAGCACAGTAATCTTAGGCTTGGGTGCAGCTGCTCGGCCAGGGAAACCCATTTCATGAAGCTTCCAAAGCACAGTTCTTATGCTGATGTTGTTTCCACAGGTAGTTTGCGCAGTCAACTGCTTCATGATCTAGCAGGACAGAGCTACCTATGACAGTCACTGAGCTCATGAGTATGAGCCCTTCTTTGTATGTAAATGACGTTAAATCACTTTAACACTTTAAATGGCCAGAGGCCTCCGGCAGGCCTAAAGTTTTATTACACACTTCTATAAGCAAAAATTCAGCTATTTTGCACTGAAGTCCCTGTACTTACTGAATAATAAGCTTTAGTATGTAATAAGCCTCAGATGTTAAGGAGTTAACAAACATATTATGGCTGGTATATTTCAGTCACACCCCTGCTGGTGATGACAAAAGTATGGTGTAATTTTCCCTCAGGGCTTTGTAAAGGCCTAATGATTTCTGGGAACTGAAAACTGCATGTCTGTAAAAATTCTATTTTTATTCGATAGAATCATGCTTGTATCTAAACTCTACAAGCATTACACTACCTCTGTTGTTTCACTGTTAAGTTTTGGATGGAAACAAAAGGATTTAATTCTTTATACAGCAAGCAGAATATTGGCCAATTACAACTGTTTTCCTTCATGGCATCTAAGTAGATACAGCTAAGCAAGTTCCCTATTAGTAAGGACTTCAAGAGCTGAAGAGTAGTCCCAATGCGCTAGATTAATAGGTTCTCTCTAACCTATTGGTAACCAGCAAAGATACTTTCTCTGGATAGACAAGGCACTTTTTGTAAGTCGCTCTGGATAAGAGCGTCTGCTAAATGCTGTACATGTAAATGTAAATTAACTAGCAGTGTAATTACGAAGTGACAGAGGAATCAGCTAATCATGTGCCATTTCCAATAGGCATGACTGATTTTGTGAGAAAAACATCACTCCAGGCCTTCTGGAAGTCCTACATACGTCACTGGCTGTGAATACGAGGGACAGTCTAATTAGTGGGTTGTTAGAAATGAAAAACAGCCAAGTTTTGACCAAGTTTTGACACTGAACTGAAGGCCTAGTTCTAATAGTTCTAACATGGAAATTTTAGATTCATTGTTTCTAAGTAGAAGAGGAGAAATCTTATTGTTATTTAAATTTAAAAATATACTTGTTGTTTGTTTTGCATTAATAAAAAAGGTTTTACATTTTGTCATTGCTTTTTTTAAAATTCTCATTAAACTTGCTGATACAAAATGTAAATGTAATTCATTATCTAACTATATAACTACAATGAATTATGTAGTTAAATGACTACATTTATATAGTACAGCAGTTCAACAGTAAAGGGTTAAATTTTAGATTTTAAAAGGGATTGTTAAATTAGATTGTTAAAGCCTGGTCTGTTCTGTTGTTAAGTGCTGGCCCTTGATATCGAGGAAACCTGTATGTTTATGCGCTTACGGCAGGGTTACAGGCTGAGTGGTTTATGACGTAAATATGGGTCATGCCTCTGGTCTAAGGCAAGTCATGCGTGGGTGGAATGACATTACTAAAATCCTCTCTAAATGTGCCTGTGTGTGTTGTTGAGGCGTGGGCTCAATGATTGGTTTTTAAAAGCCAGGTCTCGCACCCTGAGCACATAAGTGTTCTGGAGTACAGCATGCTCTGAGACAAGTTCACACGCAGGTCCACTTCATTTCTCATGCGAACTTCATGAGTAACTGAAACGGCAGAGGGGAGATCAATTGCTATTTAATATTCAAAATGAACCATCCTCTTGGGTGTGTGGTTATGGATAAAGCTCAGTGTCGCAATAATCCTCTCTAAGGTTGCTATGCATCACTTCTCTAATAGGCGTAAATAGCAACCTTTCCAAACCTGCTCTCCTTTAAAATCAAATCGCTGCCAAAACCCAGAAATATGTTTCAGCCATCTGAATACGTTACCCAATTCCGTTCTTTATGCTATCATGAGAGCAATGGCAAAAAAGAAGTGAAATTGGAGATCCTGCACTGCTAAAAATAAGGGTTTCCAAATGGTTCTTGGCATGGACATATTATTCTAATTAGTGTTGAACTTGTACACTATATAAAGGTTCTCTAATTTTGAAAAGATCCCTCACACTTACATACCTCATTTACAACAAGTGTTCTTTAAAGGACCATCCATTATAAAGTTCTTTACGGCACCAAAGATGGTTCTTATTTAGTAGCACTCTGAAGAACTCTTTTTGGCAGCTTTATTTTTAAGTGTCCAACATGCTATGTTATTTAAATGTGGGAGTCATTTCAAACATCTCTTTATTAAATGGGCTTCAATAGATTTCGCACTACCTCATTCACCCTTAGCAGTGCTCTCAAACAAATCCAGGTCAAACATACTTCTCTCTTAAAACAGAACTGTCAGTCTAGGTCATTGTGGAGAATATATAGAGTCATTTAGCATACTGAGATCCCATCAGTCAGCTATTTTACAGCAGATATAAATGGATTGAGTATCCAAATAATCAATTTTCCAGGCAGATGTGCCTGTAATGCCAGCTGTATTGGAGGTCAGCCGTGATGTTTCCTTTGCTTTTGGTTGAGATATCCAACTGTGGCTTTACTCCATATGTTTTTTTTTTATTTTCAGGGTATAACAAATATGCTTTACAGAGGGTTTTTGTGTACTCTGAATGTCCCTTGATGTTTCTGATGGTGCATATATATATACTTGTATATGTGTAAGTCTGTATGTAATAACTATTTGTGGCAATAGTGCAAGTGCGTTGCTCCTAAATAGGCTCTAAAATCTTGCAAAGTTTTGTGATTCTAGCTTTAAGCTTCAAAACTGTGACCCATCAAAACAGCACAAAAAATGTAGAATAATAAAACAAAGAACAGTAAGTTGTCTTTTTAAATTGCAGTTACTTTAATAATAAGAATAATAACCAAATAAGACTAGGGTTCAAAAGTTTAATATTGTATTTACTGCAGCTTACCACACTGAAAATAATACTGGTAATAAAAAAGTACTTAACAGCTCTTTAAACTAGCTGGAGGGGCTTCTGGACCGATGTAGCAGTATGTAGCTTCTGAACGTAATGGAGCATTAATTACACACAATTCACGCGGATCCAAAGCAGTTAATAAACACCTGCTAAAGTCTTCTAACTTAAATCGCGCCGTCCCATGGCATTTGCTGGAGCCATGCAATGCTGACAAAACCTTCTTCATTTCTCAAGAGTTGACTTATGTCTATATCATGTGTGCAAAAAAATGGTGCATGTAGCCAAGAGTCTAATATGCAGAACAAACTGTTATTGCTTTTGGACTTTGTGAAGTTTTCTCATCTGCGAAAGAGACTGAAACCGAGTCATGCCCTCTGGCGCTCACGTGCCAGCCCAGACGCTCAGTTCAGCGTTGCTAAGTGGAGAATCCTCCCACCTCTAAAATAAAGAGCCATACATCTGCTTACTCTTCTACTGGCCATCTTAGACATTCCTCAACAGTCTTTTCAACAGGCTAAATCAAGGACAGCTGAAGTTGGGAGATATATAACCTACATGTGTTGCCTGAAAGGGAGTGAATCAACATGATGGCTATAGAGATGGATGTTATAAAGTCAGGATGAGGTTAGAAATGAGATGTCTGGCTGCGTACCATTTTGTATTCTTTCCATGTCCTCTGGAAATCAACGCTGCCATCCTCCCGATGCTGGATTACTGTCCATCCTCCACCGGCGGACTCCATGTTGCAGTATACCTGTTTGCATACAAATCCTTTAATGTTCATTCTCAAGAGAATCACATTTAGGCTCCAACCACAAAAAAGCTTTGTTCTTAGCAACTGTTGTGAGGTTGAGCAAACTTTACAGAATGTCGGCCAAAATGTAACCCCTTAACATTCCAGGCTTATTGCATACGGAGGCTTATTATTCATTAACTAGGGGACTTCAATGCAAACTAATGGAGGTTCTCTTTGGTTATAATAGTGTGTAATAAAACTTTGGGCCTGATGGCAGGGCCATGGGTTGGTAAAGATACAATTGATGCAATTTCTCAGTTGCATCAAGCTCATCTGTAAAAAGCCTTGGTGTCATTATAGAGACCGATCTGTCCTTTGACGCACACGTAACTAATATAACAGCCTTCCTGCATCTCCGCAATATTGCTAAATTGAGAAATGCATTCTCTCTACAGGATGCAGAAAAGTTAGTTCATGCATTTATTACTTCAAGGCTAGATTACTGTAATGCCCTGCTGGCTGGATGTCCTAGCAAAAGCCTTAACAAGCTTCAGCTAGTCCAGAACGCTGCAGCCAGAGTTCTTACTAGAACGCGAAAGTTTGACCATATCAGCCCAGTTTTATCAACCGTACATTTGGAATAATCTTCCTGTTAATGTTCGGGACTCAGACACAGCCTCAGTGTTTAAGTCTAAGCTAAAAGCTTACTTGTATAGTCAAGCCTTTGGTAATTAGTTTTCCCTGTCAGTTCTATACCTGCCAGAGTCTCTGCTGCTCTGCTAACACTGTAATCTGTGATCAGTCGCCCATTACAGAACTGACACCCATTACAGAACTGACTCTCAGTTCTGTCAGTCACTCATTACAGAACTGACTCTCTGTGTGTTTTTCCTTTCTTTCTTTCCTTTGCCGAGTTGAACAGCTGCCCATCCTGTTCATTCTGATGCTGCTGCCTCTCTGCCTTGATCGGGTGCCACTGCTCGCCAGCCCTCTGGACCGGCTTGACCACCATTGAGCTTCTTGCTGTACAACGCCGTGCAAACTCACCCTCACAACCTGACCCCACTGATGCTGCTGTTGCATGAACTAAACTAATCAAATTAATCATTTGAACTAATCAATCATTTAAACTAATCAAATTAATAAATCACGCCTTGATCGGGTGCCACTGCTCGCCAGCCCGCTGGACCGGCTTGACCACCATCAAGCTTCATGCTGTACTACGCCGTGCACCCTCACAACCTGACCCCACTGATGCTGAAGCTGCTGCCGCTGCTGCTGCATGAACTAAACTATCAAATGAATCATTTGCTCCACCTGTTTTCCCTGTTTTTGTACTAACAATGTTTACTATCCGGTGTCGACCAGAGGAGGATGGGTTCCCCTTCTGAGTCTTGGTTCCTCTCAAGGTTTCTTCCTGTTTCTCTTAGGGAGTTTTTCCTTGCCACTGTCACCACTGGCTTGCTCATGGGGGCTTGGACCCGGATTTCTTTCTGTAATGCTGATTTCCTTGTAAAGCTGCTTTATGACAACACCTGTTATAAAAAGCGCTATATAAATAAACTTTACTTACTTACTTACTTACTTATAATAGTGTGTAATAAAACTTTGGGCCTGATGGCAGGGCCGTGGCTTGGTAAAGAGTTAAAGAGAAAAAATATAAAAATTACATGCAAATGATGAGAATTTACATATACATTATTTAAACTGGACTGCTGAATAGTTGTTTTCAGTGTCTACATAACACAGAGTTTAAAGTTTAAAATGTTACTTGGCCAATCAGGACTACGCTGTTGTAGATAATTAAAAGTAGGCAGGCTGGAAACAGCAACATAATTGGCTACCCTATTAATGTTAGATTAACTACACAACAAAAAACTACCTCTTATCTATTGGAACAGTGTGACGGATCACAACCTCACAATAGTAGCTATGAAAGAATTTATGGGCAGAGCATGGTTAGTTCAATTGTAGGCCTATTTTGTGTTGCTCTTACTTCTTATCACTACTTAGAAAATTCCCACCATGTTGATTTTTTTTGGTTGGCAGCAATTAGAGCAGGTCAGAAGATCAGACCAAAGATCAAAGCGGGGACACAAAGGGACACATGGCTGTAATCTAGTCATATATGAGCAGCATAAAGTTCTCTTTGGTGCCAAAGCTTATACACCTAAATACACACAGACCATTGAGAGGACAGTTATCCAACTACAACTGACTCTGGATCTTTGGTGAAACAAGACACCCAGACACATGTCTATACACACACACATACATGCACACATAAACACGCTCTTTTGACAGCACCTTCTCCCTAAAGCCCCATCTATATTATACAACCTATTCATTTCTGCACTCATATCATCTTTCACCCTACACAACTTACCATAAAGGGATTATCTCGTGCTTTATCACAGTGTCCCCACCAGTATGACCCCGATCTCCTAAACTAACCCCAAATATCCTTAGAACATAAGGAGCCAATCCAGTCTCTGTGGACCACCAGCCAGTCCACATTCCCAATCTATTCCAGTCCTCAGCACACCTGGGCTATAAAGTGCTGATTACCTGGGTCATCTGAAATGTGTTCGAGAATAGAGCAAAAACTTGGACCAGCTATGGGTCCTTGAGGACTGGACTGGAAACCTCTGATATAAATAAGCGCTAAGTATTTTTCGCACAAAGTTGGCTCAAGTTTACTAAGCGGCCCCTCCACCCTACCTCATACCCTCTGGCTGCACTCTGTCGAGGTGCTGACCACCTGCCTCCCTTCACTGACCCAGCCAAAATGATTCTAGGCAATCATTCCTCTCTGGATCAATATAGCCACCATGGCTCTCCTCCTAACTTTTCCTATCAATAATATAGTGTTGCCTAGTACAGCACTGCCAAGGTTTCCTTATCTTCCACATCTCGTTTAAATTTATGAAAGGCTTGCTAATTAATGGATGATTTGAAAACGGTCTGTTGGGAAGGTACTAAAACATGCAGGACTGAGGACCAGGACGAGACATAAAACACATCAATAAATACATCGTCATAAGAAGAGAACAGCAAGAAAGATGAGCGTGAGTTCATGTAGTTTAATGCCAGCCCAGCAGGGGACAATAAGACCCCATAAAATTTGATGCCAAACATCACAAGAAGAACACTGTAAGCACGCGTATCATGTAAAATAGAGATTTTCTAAACAATTGATGGCTGCATGTTATAACCATAACAGGCTTGTTTGACTTAACTCAAGCTGACAGATTTCCATAATTTGATATTTCACATAGATTCAAAGTCGGATTTCTGCCGGAAAATAAAAGCTTGAAAGAGGAAAAACAGCCAGTGTTTGCTGCCGTTGATACGCAACTGTTTCTGAAAAGTCTTATGGTCCTGATTAGGCAGGGAAGTTTCTTGCTTTTCTCCATTTGAATTGTGTATTTTTTTCCCAAACCTGACTTTGCTATTGCAAATTGGTTCACCCAGTTGGTCCTTCATAGCAACTGTAACTATGCCTAAGATAATGTGATGCAGCATATTTGTTAATCTGAAAACTCAGTTTCACAAGAGATTGGTGGAAAGAGTGAATTGTTGCTTTTCTTGATGATGAGGAGATGTGTAAGATCTACAGATTTTTAATATTTACAATCAACTAGACACCCATTTAATAGAACTGAGTGCAGTACAATCTGATGCCTCCAACTAAGAGTATAAAGAAAAAGAAAAACTAAATTCAATAATAAATAATTGATGAACCCCCAAATTTCGGAACATTCTGAAACAACCTAGACATCCGTCATATTTCATACAGAGTTCTGCTTATTCATTAAATGAAAACAGAAACAAGCATGCACAACAGTGAGTGATTTCAAAAATCTCCACCCTGGAGAGCATTTTTGAAAAGATCTGTTTTCATTGACCTAAAATGCAGGTTTCTTTTGAACAGGAGGCCAAAACACAGAGAAAAAAAACATGTTTTCAAAACTATAAAAATACCAAAAATATGTGGCGTCTTTGAGACCTCATATTTTCTGACCTTCTTAGAAAAGGCTTTCACTGGCTCCATTGTCTGTACATTCAAACTTACAAGGCCAGCAGCAATCAAGAGGAGTTACATTTCATTTCTGAGGAGATCTGAACACACACACCTTTTTGGTTTCCTGAGGGCTGATGTTGATTGTGTATACTCCGTTCTTCCGGATGCCTGACTCGTACAGATCAGCACAGTCCCGGAATTTCTTCTCCTCGTCAGCTTGCTTTGTGCTGTTGGGCACCACTGTAGAAACAAAAAGCCTGTTTGGTTATTCACGTGTTCAGTGGTGGTGTAAATCTCTAAACCTCACAATAATCCAATTTGATTTTGAAACCTCAGGGAATAAATCACTGTATCTCAAAATTTCAAATTTCACCACAATTCAAGTAGATTAGATTTGTCAGTATTGCACAACACAGTTGGTTTCTATGCCACATAACTGTTTGATTGGTTGCTGCTTAGCTTATATGCATAAAGCTTGTTCAGAGGGAGTGAGAGTGGGAGTGGGCGGGGCATCCATCAATTTGCTGTGCCGATTACATGTGTTCACTGTTATTTTCTGTCAAATATACATTCAGAAGAAAAGTATATATGCAGACCATCGCTGTTAGGACAAAATGGGGTTTCACTTCGTTTGGATTGTCCACTATAGTCCCCTATAGATTTTCTACAGATGTTTAAATTGTTAACAAACTATCTGTCGATACTAAACAGTGGTGGGGTTAGGGCTAGGATTTGGACCAGGGTCAGGGCTAGGACCAGGGTGAGGGTTGGGTTTAGGCTTTGGGTTGAGGTTAGGGTTAGGATTAGAGCCAGGTTTAGAGTTAATTAAGTATCTACAAAAGAATCTAAAGTGGACGGTCCAAATAAAGTGTTACTTAAAATGGTCTAACCCAAATTTTGTTGTGTTTTGTTGTCCTTCATAATTTGTGAACACTAGCTGCCCTTTGCATTGTGTAAAATTTAATAGGATTTAATAGGATTAATAAATTATGTGCAATTCATGTGATGCTTTAAAATATATGTGCTAAATATATTTAAATGTGCCATTTATATGCATAAATATATGCCAATATATGCACATATATGTTAAGTATAAGCAAATACAATACACACTTCACAGATATTTGTGGAAATATACTTCCTTTGCATATGGGTAGCATGTTATGACATGGTTTATTTTGATGTCATCAAAAAATTAAAATAAAAAAAAAGAATCATATAAAATTGCACCCTCCTGCATCCTTGATGATGGAAGATTACTTCAAATATGACCGATGACAGTTTACAGTTATAATGCCAGTTGGACAGAACATGGCCATATACCCTTCAGTGCTGTAACTGAGTCTCAACATGGGTGATGCAGGCTGCCACCACTAAGCTCTCCATTTCAGCAGGGCTAAATTTATCCATGTAACAAAGTGAATGACATGCGTCTACAGTCTGGCACTGAAAACTCTGGTGGGTGATGCTAATCTTCACAAGTTCTATTATGCTATATTTCAGCTGTGGTCTGAATGGTTAATAACATCCATGCGAATGGAAGGAGGGCAGTTTTGGTGATGGAAGGCTTTTGGAGGGAGAGCACAGAATGTTTCAGCAATGACATCCAGTAAGGATTAAATATATAGGGTTGTGGTTGGCAGAGAGCGTGCTGAGGATGGAAGGGATGGAATGTGTATAAAAGCGTATGCCACTGTTTCTGTCTCAAGTTAGACATGCACAAATCAATCGCACTTACAGACAGTGAAAAAACACCAGTGAGCTGGGCTGTGGTGATGTGAAAACACACGCTCCAGGAGACATTCTGAAGGCAGTGGAACGGATTAAAGATCCAGTCACTAAAACAAAGCATGCTCAATCTAAGTGAGATAACGGAATAAATAATACACACAGGCGTGGAAAATTCAGAACGCAGGATGGAGAGCACTGAAAGAAAGTATTCGGGGCAGCTCTTTGGCATATTATCTGTAAGATCTTTCCAGCAGTGAGTGACACATTTCCAGTGTGAAAGGCCTTTAATCAGAGTGCTGATCTCTTGCTCCCTGTGAGGAACCGTCCCGTTCTGACAGGCCTTTCAGAGCTGGCAGCTGGTTTTGCCTCCATCTGCACATAATTACCCCCGCCAATATTTTGAAACTAAGCAAGGGTCCGTGGACAAAATACTACAAGCTATAAATTTCAAGTTCCTGTTATAACAAGTGGTTTATATTTACGCGCCGGGGTCCCGCTTATGTCGCTGAAAATTCCTTCCGATCCCTCTTCTCTTGCGCTCGGAAAGAGCCCCGGCTCGGCTTTCACACCATTGTTTTCGCTGTTGGAGCTGTTTAGGGAGAAGAGATGTCACCACCAAGTGGGATGTGTCAGGGGTGTTTAGGCCTGGCTTTGATCCCTGGCGTGAGGCACAGGGTGAGGGGTGGGGGAAGCTCTTCGTTAGGGGCCATTATGCCTGCCTTTCTCTTAAAGGATTGAGTGTCAGTGACAAGGATCCCCACAGTGACAGGTTCACAGAGTGGAACTGTGCGCTGCGGAGTCTAACACAACAAGAAGCCCAACCTGTCCAGCAGCAATTTACCACCAGACAGGAGCCCGAGAAGCTAAGGCAGCAGAGGAGCAGGGGAAGAACGTCCTAGAGAGAGCAATGTTCAGAGATCTCGAGTGGTTTTAACCCTTCAAACTGCAAGAGCTCATATATATGCCCTCTCTTTCATAAATACATACCTCAGATCACCACTGTGCGACAAAACCTCCAAAATGGCAACTCATAAAGGCAGAAGGTCTATTCATTTTGATGTATGATACTGTGTAAAAGTCAGAGACCACCATTCATTTATTGAAGTTCTAGTCACAGCGGACATTAAGTACAAGGTATTCATTGTTTCAGGCAATATTTTTGAGGAGTTTAAATATAAGCTAATACACTTGCGTAAGTAAGGGGAAAGTTAAAGGAAAATAAGTAAAAAGAGTTTCCAAAACAGGAATTAAAAAAAATATATGAACAGATATTAAAAAAACAACGATGCAAGACCTAGTACTGTAAGTTGTGCAAATGTACCAGTAATTTTGGATAATTTCTGTTGATTCATTAATGACAATTGTTTGCAGTTTCTAAATGGTAGCTGGCATTTTCAAAGGAATTGTGAAATAACTGGAATTTGGGGCAAGGAACATGCCTGAAACCCCTCCTCCTTCCAATCTAACACCCTATAAATTCCCATCCTTATTTCCGTTTCCTGTGACAAAGTTCTTGCAATCCTCACCTCCACCCCATCTCCTCTCTGTCCCTCAGTCCTAGGTCAGTCCTCCCACAGTTACAAGGAGGGTCTGGCCTTCTAGCTCCAAGCAGAAGCTGCTCAGCACTCCAGCCCAAGTTCCAGTCCCCTCCCTCAATCAGTCTTCCCTCATACTACCACCACATGTTGAAGGCATGGTCTGAACTCACAAAAATAGTGTTTAAACCTATAGTGTTAGCAGGTTTTGGTATGCCGGTGACAATATATGAGCTTAATAGTATTTACCAAATAATTTATAATGGTTGCTGAGTAATAAGTATTAAGTTTAATACAGTATGAATGTACCATGAAGAGCATTGAGTATAGCACCATGTTTGTTGTCAGTCGTAGACTTCAGTGACACTTTTAGTTGTGCTAGCTTTAGCTGTGTATTAATACTAACCCCCTTGAACCTTGGGCTTATTATTCAGGTAGTAAGCCTAAGGATTATCATTTAGAAGCTACTTTGAAACTAATATGTATTTTGTGAGTTTATGAGAGTGAGGAACTGAAATGTAGGCCCACATACATGCCCTTAGTGTTTAAAGAGCCCAAATAATGAAAAAAATAATTTTCCTTTTGTAAAATAGAAGAGCTTTTAGTATGTAAACATGTTAATGTTTCAAAAGCTACAATTCATTTCCCAGATTTCATCGAACTCTACACATTACACTGAGACATTAAAAAGGACCAGCTCTCCAAACAAGGGCTAATTAATAATCCACATTTGGAAAAACTGCTGCAAAGGTTGCCTGTATTGAATTTGTTGTTTTGGTGATGTCACTGAAACCAACGCATTTAAATATATATTCACCTAAACAGTTTAGTTTGTTTTTAAAGTGAAAAAGAATGTTTCAGCATGGACTGTATATTCATCCACTGACGAAAGTCGTCAACATAGCGTTGACGAAATAGTATGCAGGCATCATAGGGATTCTCACAGAGAAAGAAATTACACTTTAAACTGAGCTGTTGTAACAGGAGCTATTAAACAGCTTGTGTCCTGGAACCAAGAGCCATTTTTTCATACACTACTATCTATTTACATATGAATTCTTGCTGATTCAGTAGAGACTTCTGTTCAGTGGGGGGTCTATGTGAAAAGTACAAACAGGCAAATCAATATCTATAAATTACGACTTCAGACAAACAAACTTTCCAAAACTCTACAAACCCTCATTCAACCCAAATAAGCGTTATAAGAATTAAAGTGTCCAGAGTAAACTGTGGGACTAAAATAGGCCAAGCAAGGGCAAAGGTCAATATCAGCTAGCAGTGCCAGGCTGGCTTGAAATTTAGAGGCCGTATTAATATCATAAGAATGATGAAAACATACCAACAACTGAAATGGCGACGATCAAAAGGGAGAGCAAAATTATTCAGTGGCACTAGCCAACTGGACTGCCAACTAAAACATTACATAAGGACCAAACATGCCATCCTAATAATGGATTGTGCTACAACCTAAGAGATCCATTTCAGGCCTGAATGTTTGGAAGTGCATAAAAGTGCCACATTGAGATACAATACATCCCTAGAAAGCTAAACGTGGTGACTGAAAACAATATTTTGCAGCAGACTATGCTATCCTGGCTGTAAAGATGATTGATGCTATTCATTAGGTGGGATAATACAATACAGAAAAAGAAAATCATATTTAGCAGCCAGGGATTTGTAACAGATGCCCAAACTAAGCTCAGTTACCATTAAAAACATCATTTGGTTTACTGAGTTGTAGTGTGTTTATAAGTGATAATTGTATTACAAAGATGAGTTCATTACACTTTGGCATCATTAAAGACACATGTCCAAAAAAAAGCATAGAACAAGAACTTTCGTGGCAGCCATTCAATAAATGACAAGCGTGCTCTTATTATTCAAACCTAGATTTATGCTTTTCTGCTTACAATAACATTCATAGCTTATTTCACCCAAGAACTCAAAGCATTATTCAGGTTCAAGTCTCAAAACAGAGGCTAATTCATGTAGATCCCAGATGATGATGTTATATGCCCCACATTTGTAGTAACTTGGTAAGCAAATGGTTCTCTGTCCTCTCCCAGAAAGGCGCCTTGGAGCTAGTTTTGAATTGCAGTAGAGGAGTCATGTTAGTCCGACAGGCGACCTCCCAACCTCCATTTTCACCTCCAGAGCGCACACTGTCCCGTTGGACTCATTAAGGTTTGACTAATTCAGCCAGAGGTGAAGAAGGTGACCTCTGTAGTGGACCCAAAGCTCCTTACTGCTATATGAGAGCAAAACAGTAACTCCAGAGAAGCCATTCTTTTGCCCAATAAACACGTTTTGGCTTTGTTATACTCTGAAAACCCAGATATGAGCTCAAGTGATTAATTTCCTGCAGAACCACAAAATTCAGTAGCACAGATTCATTTGTAGGGCAAAGCTACATCTAGGGACAGTTCAAACAAGATCCCTGGGATTTCCACCACTAAAACCATACTAAACACCTCATGTTATTTACAAAGAATTAGTGTCAACAAGAATACTGTGAGAGGATAATAGCAAGAACCATTTCAGTTCAATATTTTATTGCGTGCTGGGAATGCTGACATGGACGAGCGTGTGGAAATGAAGGTTTCTCTGCTACGGGTTTCTATCACTATATAAAAAAGGCACAATGCTGCCTTTATTGTTGGATGCACTGCAATAGTTTCTGAGCAAGCATGCACACACATTCAGAACAGACTGAACAGTACTAAGACTATATTCACACTTCAGGTAATAGTGTCCCAAATCTGATCTTTTTGCCAATATGTGAAACAGATTTGTGAAATGCGTGACTGTGGTTACGCTTCGTATCTTCTTTGGCTTTGGAACCAAGTGAGGCAAGTAAGCACAGTGCTTTCCAACACAGAGAAATCAAACTAACAGCTGTCCAAATTCAACTCTACTTCAAGGATATTTTTGTTTTAAAAAGTGAGTGAAGGATTCTTACCTAGATCATGTTTCTTTTCCAATATACACCCTTAAAATGGTTCTGTAATGGTTCCTTAGTAAAGAAAACGGTCCTATATGGAACCATGAACATGCAAAGAACCATCTTTTTTAGGTGTGTACATTGGTGTTTTGGTGCTGAGTTTGTGTCCATTTGCTAGTATTCTTCTTCACAGAGGGAAAATGAAATAGAGTGCTCTTCCTTTCTTTGATTAGCTTTAACAAATAAAACAAGCACAGAAATTCATAACTTTTTCCTCTTCTCTGTAAACTTCAGGTTGTTTAGGTGTCTGCTGTTTGTCCTCCAAGTTTAAAGCAGGCATTAAAATTTAATGTCACATTATGGAGTCTTTTAACCTTAAGGAAATATATAGGACAGCTAGCAGATGCTGGATGAACTTGCTGGGTGAACTGCTGTTCTTTTGCACAAACAAATCAGATTTGTGCAGTAAACCAGACTTGGGACACTTTTACCAGCAGTCTGAATGCAGCCTGAGAGCTTTCAATTGATTTGTTTCATTACAGCAACAAAAAAAAGGCAAATGAATTGTAAAATCATTTCTTTTTTTTATGTTTGGCTGCTAAAAATACCTGGTGACATCTTGTATAAATAAAAATAATGTGTGGCCATGACTTAGTAAGGTGTGGGAATGAGATAATTATCTACCTTTAAACCTACTTTTCTGTTATTTAGTTTGTCACAAGCTGGTATTTTACGGAACCCTGATGATGACATCCTGTGTAAATAAAGATAGTAAATGGCCACGACTTAGTAAGTCGTGATCTCGTTCCCACGCCTTACTAAGTCATGGCCACGACTTAATCATCTCATTCCCACGCCTTACTAAGTCGTGGCCACGCATTATCTTTATTTACACAGGACGTCATAATCAGGGCTCTGTAAATACCAGCTAGTGACAAACTAAATAACAGAAGAGCAGGTTTAAAGGAAGATAATCACATTCATGCCTCAACATTAGAACTGCAGACAATATATGTACACATTTACTTTGAGTTTCTGTCTAGGACTTCAGCAGCGGTCAGAGGCAGCCGGCTTATGTGTTTACAGCTTTTTCACAGTGGTCAGAGAATGCAGAGGTCTGGTTAAAAGAGTCACTTGGGTGTCAGCTGAGTGTCCTAATGGCAGAAAGAGCAACAGGAAGCAGGCACGCTTGCCATGCCCTCCCAGCAGGAATTGAAGCTCGTGCTCAGAAGGCTGAAGTTTCTCCACGCTTGGGCCGGTCCCAGCACAGACATCCAGGCTAAATTTCCTGTGACCACGGAGACGTGGGGCAGACGCAAGGTCAAGAGGGCACGCTGGGGTTAGGGTGGGGAAACGGGGCTAATGAGTTCACTGCATGGCCTGCTGTTACCGTAAGGCCACCCCCAGCCCTGCATCACTGCAGTGGGGAGACATTATATAGGGCCAGCCTGTAACTCAAACAGGGGCTGTTTGACATTTCAGTCAACCAGGAAAGCACAGGCAGTGTGTTGAAGCGTGATAAGGTCCATCCGTTAGAACCCAACATTGTCTGACTGGAGCAAATTAGGACATATGAGACAAGCGCACGTACGCCCACCAGGAGCTGACGCTTTTTAATCCCATCACATATATCAATATATAAACTTAAGGTTTTCTCCTTCACCTATGGCACTATTTTGATATGAAGACACAACATTTTCTCAAGGCAGCAATGATATTTTAGCACAGCGAGTAGGAGACGTTCTATTTCTGTCCACTGATTCATGCTATATTTATCACTGTGGCTATTTATTCCAAAGTGTAAAGGCCCAGAGCAGAGGTCACCAATTTCAGCTGCAAAGGGCACGTGTGGCTGCAGGTTTTGTCACTTTGCTTGAAGCTTGCAAAGCCATGTTCCAATACATTAAACATGACTATCAGCTATTATTCCATTCCAGATCATACGTCATTAAAGGAAATCGTGGCATTGCTCAGCGTGTTTTTAGGACTAGGCAGGACTTAATGACTGTGAGTGGGGACTGAGTTCTTTGTTGCTGAAAATATAACGCGAACACTACTTATAATGCATTACATTAACAATTAATAATGCATTGTAAACATGGCTATAAAGTGTAATGCATTTTTACAAATATTTATAACCATGTTGAAAGTGCCTTATATATGCATTATGATGTATAATGTGTCATGAATGCCCATTTAGATTCTTATAGACATAGTATTTATAGAAATTATGACTGAAAACATTTTTAAGCTGTAATAGGCTTACAGTCAGTTGCTAAATTGTAAAAAGGGTGAAGGGGGGTGACATAGTGTAATTACATATTAATTGTGTTGAAAACTACCTCATACCACTTAGTGAAATACCTGCTCTTATGTAAATACAACAAATCTGTTTTATATGCTATGTAAATATGCAAATAGATATACTTCAGATAGATATGCTTCTATTTCTACTCTCTCATACTTTAACTTATGTCTATTTTTTTTGTTTCTGCCTAATTTACGTCTATTTTTATTTCTGTTCTTATTTCTGCCTAATATATATAAGTTTGTGTTTTTATTATATGTTATTAATTATATGTCTTGCTACTATAATACTAAATGATCTATCTATCTATCTATCTATCTATATATACTATATATACTATCTATATATATATATATACATACATATATATAGTTGTGTGCACGGACGGGAAAAGCTGCAAATGAATTGCTTTCTTTGGGAATAATAAAGTACTCTGAATCTGAATCTGACGTTTTTACAAGGAGAATAATTTGTCATTTTTTACCTCAACCCCCCTCAAATGCATATACTCACCAAAAAAATCAACAAAACATGTAATTTGACCAGGGCTTTCAGAAACATATGGTCATTGCTTCGTTTCATGTCAGCTTTTTTAAAATTGCATTTAATTGGGAGACACTGTGTGCTGTATAATCATACCTCCATCTTTGGAGCAGAGGCTGAGGAGGCTGTGCACAGTGTCCATCAGGTCCTGCTGCTGTCTCTGCAGTGCTGTGCTGTTGCCCGTGGCTCGGCCCAGCTGGCTCTCCAGCTCGCGGATCACTCCGCTCTGCCTGGCCACCAGCGCCTGCAGACTGCTCTTCTCCTCCCTCAACACCTCCAGTTCCTGCTTGTGCCTTGCCTCCATCTCCTGCATCTTCAGCTCCAGAAACCTGAGAGAAAGTAAAGAGAATAAAAAACAACCCTGCTCACCCCTGCTTGTCTCATATCAGATGATGTTCAGATAGGGATAATCCACAAAAAATGCAGTTGTAAAAGTGCCCATAATGCACTTAGATCAGATTTAAACCCAATTGCTAAAACACTTAAGGAGGATGTTGTACATGTATCAATACATTTGTCATGTTTGACAACCAAAATCCTTCCCAATATATTATGTTATACTGTAATGTTGTTCATTACCACCATGACTTGCCAAGCCTTGTTCTTGTAAACATTGACTGTGCTGTGCAAAACTGATTTTTGAGGCGGCATCTTTTACATAGAACTTGGAAATTAAGAAAATGAAAGGCGGTTGGTTGTGATGTTATGAGCTAACTTGCATATTGTGTCCCATATAGAAATAAGATGTCACTCCAACTGACCAGAGATGCATTTGACCTCATATGGTTAACCCAGTAGCCATAAAACTCAATTTCCTGCTATTTCCTCCACAGTTGAACTACACATTTTTGTTCTTCATTAACACTGATAAACCAAAATATTTTGATGGAAATGTGTACAATATACAAAACTGAAACAAACTGGGATTTTGTCATAGGTGAGCAAGTAAGTAAACCTTTTTTATTGTTTTTAAATGCTATTTTTATTGTGGCAGTTGTACAAGACTGTTTGCTATGAAGAAAGCTGTAATACTGTCTGGTCGTTTTTGTGGAGAGATGGGAAATATTTTTAAAGCAGGGGGTTTCACCCCTCCCTTTTCACCCCTCATTGCTCGCTAACAGCTCAACAAACAGTCACAACATTTCACCCAGACAGCCAGCAGTGTCCTTGTTCATCTGATAACACAGTTACAGGGAAAAATACACTTTACTTGATTATGTGAAAAATGTTTTGCTGGAAAAGTGTCCACTAGGGACCCTGCAGAAAGAAGTTAAAATCTCACCAGGATACAATCCAGAGACAAGTTGCATAAAATGAGTGGGTGTAAATGGGGTCAAACAGAAAGACAGTAAGGAAAGAGTGAAAAGATAAAAACACACTGTAGCTGTGAGAATCAATCTTGTGACTGTGATGTGATTCGGCTGCCTTATTATTCACACTCAATAGGGGGTAAAATTGATTTGCTATGGTTATAATAAGTGCATAAATATTTTTATAAATGTACTCAGTATCCATGACTAAAACACTGCACAAGCAAACACAGTTTCATCATATACATCTGGGGATTTTTCTGCAGACAGATAGGATTGGCGTGTCCTAAGGTTTTACGTCTCGGGCACATGATGCTCACTAATCTGAGTATGTTGGCTCAATCAAAAAATGTGCATATATGAAGTTTTGGATGATGACTAACCAAGTCAAAATATCAGCTTTATATCAGTGGCTTCAACAAGATAAATGGAATGACATCAGCACTGGAAACAAAATACAGAACACAGATGCTGCAAAGTTGCTTTCTTTATGATGGTGATGAGGAAATATGAATTCTCCTCTGCATTTTTCAACTGCAGCTGAGTAGCCATGCAGAGAGCGCTGGGAACCAGACTCGTGCATTGGCGATGAGAGACAAGTCCCATCAGGCCAATTAACGAACGCCATGCTGGAAAGCTATCCAAGTGACATGTATTGCAAAACCATTAAACGTGCAATAGTCCATCTAGGAAAATATGTCTTCATAAAGGTTATATTTTAAAGGCAGAGCAGGGGACATCTTTCATCTCTTTGGCAGGTTGCTTTACATTGCACAGTATGGGACCAAGTAACTGTCTGAGAACTCAATGTGTTGTCGGTTGTCGAGAATTAAAAGTTGTATTGTGTAATGGGCTGTTTTGTGTTTTTTGGACGTGAAGCAAGTATGTTTTTTTCTCTTTTTTTTAACAAGACCAAGCAAGCCTAATTTAGTCTGATCGTGACTGCAGCTTGCAGGGAACATCTTAAAAAAGTAGATCAGCAACAAGCTGTAAAAGATGATACTCAAGCAAAGCTTGAAATCAAAATTTCTCGGATGTGAGCCATCTGCATAACAATGGCAAGAAGTCAAATTATTGGTGCATTCAGTGTTAAAATATTAGTCTACTTTGTCCTTATAAAGTTGACACATTTATGTGAAGTAGTAAGTACCCCACAAAATGTTTTTTTTTTTTTTTTGAAGTGGATGTGTCATTATTTGATCTTCAGCTAAACATTATGCATAGTTAAATATGTGTAACAGAACAAAAACAATGAAAATTCAACTTTGCAATCATTTAATTTAAAAAAAAGGTTAGATAGTTAGATAAGATGTCATTTTTTTCAGTGTCCGTAACTGGTATTGCCACCTTTGCCAGAAACAGGTTTATGTAAGAGTTTGCTATAACTGTCTACCAATTTTTGACGTCTACTGGGAGAATTTTTTGCCCACTCCTCTGCAAAGAATCCTTTTAACTGTGCAAAGTTTGAAAGGTTTTCTTGCATGTACAACGTGTTTCAAATCCCCCTACAGCATTTTAGCGTGATTCAGATCTGGTCTTTGACTAGGCCCTTCCATAACCCTCTATTTCCTCTATTTTGACCCATTCCTTGGCAGATTTATTTGTATGTTTGGGATCATTATCCTGGTGGAAGATCCACTTTTTGGTTTAAACTTTTTGATAGATGGCCTCACTTTCTTCTCAAGAGTGCTCTGGTATGAAAGAGAATTCTTAGTTGATTCTATAATAGCAAGTATGGCCAGGCTCTGAGGCAGCAAAGCAGCCCCAAACCATACCATTCTCACCACCCTGCATTACAGTTGCTATGAGGTTTTTCTGATCAAATTCTGTCTTTGGTTTTCACTGAACATGGTGTTTGGTACTCTGGCCAAACAACTCTACATGTAGATTACTGTGATGAAATTTTGAAACTTCTTTTCTTACAGTCTGCTTTCAGGTTAAATTTGCTGGGCCGGCCTGCCCTGGACAGCTTGGCAGTGATTATTAATCCTCTCCACTTGTAGATGATCTTCCAGCTATTTTCAAAATCTTTTTAAATCCATTCCCAGTCCCATACATACATATTTTTTTAGGAGGCCTCAGTGAGTTATTTTGATCTATACCACACACTCCAATAACAAAGTGTAAACCAGACCAGATATCTGAGGTTTAAATAAGACAGATAGCTCCACAATGTTCTCTAACAGTGTTCTAATCATTAGCACCTGATCGGGTGCACTTGATTTCAGTTTGACACATTTGAAGTAGTGATATATGTAGTGCATTTCTGTATATAACAATTATAACAATTATAATTAAACTTCTCATACATTCATTAACCACATAAAAAAACGTGTTTTTTTTACATAGTAAGGCTTATTATTTAGTAACTACTGGGACTTCCATGAAAACTGACTGAGCTAATCTTAAATTATAGAAGTATGTAATAAAACTTTGGGCTTGCCGGTGGGCCCTGGCCACTTAAGTGGTTCAATTATATCATCTTTATCTATCAACATTATATAATTGGAGATTTAAATTAAAATTATTTTAACTTTGGATATCTGAATGCCCAAATATGTTGAAAAAGTCTAAACCTTTCATGTAGCGTACTTATTTCTTCACAAGACTATACTTAAACTGGTGCCACCTACAATTGCAATATCCCTTAAAACTCTTTTACATGCATATTTCAAAAATAACGAGACATTGACAACCCTTGGCTTGCTTACTAGGCAGGCTATAAAAAAGTTAATGTTTTCAAAGAAAAAAAAACATTTGACAATCTGCTGGGACATCATCCCTAAATTCCCAAAGTGGGTCATAAATGTACAAACATGAAGTCTAACCAATAAAATATTACACAGATCTGTAACTGTAACTGACTCTTCTTGCACAGCAAAGAGTCGCCCTTTCTGCAGTGTTTAACACTGTGAGGTTCCTTTTGCTTGTTCATTTCATAACCTAGACTACTTTTGCAAAGTAATGCTCAGAGCATGTTCTTACCCATTCTTGTCGTGCAGTTTGCTGATCTCGTTGGTCTGCACTATGAGCTGCTTCTCCAGCTTGTTGGTGGACAGGGAATTCTCCAACAGTTGAATCTCCAGCCTGGACGTCTGATTCAAAACCTGAACCCAAATAAGGCAGTACAGCCAGACTAAAAACATGGTATGATGCAGGACTCATAAACACACCATAGGTCAGTGTTAAACCAGCAGCACCTCTGGAGAGGTCATAAACAGGGGAGAAGGAGCTACTGCTGCGTTCTTTGGCCATACGGTAGCACTTAAGAACAGTGGTTTCCCCAAGCAAACCCTTCATTTGACAAATCAGCAAAAACAAGCCATGCCATATTCCTGTGTGTCTCATTCAAATTCGCATTAGACACCAAGTGCGGTGGGAAAGCAAACATGCAGGATGCATAAAGGGAGAACAGGCATCTTATATGGCTTGAGTGCTTTCCTTGGCTTTTTAGTGGTGATCCTGCAGATACAATTAGAAGAGGACTAGCTTAGTAAGTGTTGTGTGGAATGGATCCTAGGAGGGACATACCTGAGTCTCAACGTCGGTGAGCTTGCGGGTCTGTTCGGCCGTCTGGGAAAGAAGATTGGTACCCATTTCCAACATGGCTGCTGTGTGATTGTGGACTGCACTCTGCTGTAACTGGGCCATCTCTGCTTTCATGCTCTCTTTAATGTAGTTCTCGATCTGTGCCAAGCAAAAGAAATGAGCCTTATCAACCAAGAGCCATAATGTTACATGAATCTAGTAATATCACTGCAAGGTAAACTTTAAGGTAAAATCATTTTTGCATTGCTCTATGAGTTAAATGCAATACCCACTCAGAAAATGCACACATTATATGAACAAAATTATTGGGACACCTACACATTACACCTACAGGAGCTTTAATGACATCCCATTCTAAATCCATTGGCATTGATATGGAGGTGGTCCTCCTTTTGCAGCTATAACAGCTTCCACTTTTCTGGGAAGCTTTCTACACGATTTTGGAGGGTGTCTGTGGGAATTTTTGCCTGTTCATTCAGAAAAGCATTTGTGCAGACAGACATTGATGTTGGACAAGAGGGCCTGGGTCGCAATCTGTATTCTAGTTTATCCTAAAAGTGTTCAATAGGGTTGAGGTCAGGGCTCTGTGTGGGCCAGTCAGGACACCAAATTCAACCAACCATGCCTTTATGGACCTTGCTTTGTGCACTGGGCACAGTCATGCTGGAACAGAAAAGGGTCTTCCCTAAACTGCTCCCACAAAGTTAGAAGCATACAATTGTCCAAAATGTCTTGGTATGCTGAAGTATTAAGATTTCCCTTCACTGAACTAAGGGGCCTAGACCAACCCCAGAAAAACAACCCCGTAGCATTATCCCTCCTCCACCATACTTTACATTTGGCTCAATGCAGTCAGGCAGGTAATGTTCTAGCAGGGCAGAAATCTACAATCTGGCTTGTGGCAAAAGTGGCATCTTAAGACAGTGCCATGTTTAAAGTCACTGAGCTCATCAGAACGACCCATTCTTCTGCCAGTGTTTGTCTATCAAGACTGCAAGGCTATGTGCTTAATTTTATCCAACTGTTAGCCTTAGGTGTAGTTGAAACACCTAAACTCAATCATTAGGAGGGGTGTCCTAATACTTTTGTTTACATAGTGTATCAAATCCTTCATGATGTATAATCTAGTAGCTGAAAAAGCAATACAGACGCAAAGAAGCTGTAAAAAGATTTCTTTCAAATAAGCTGTAGAGACTCTTAAAACACCTTTCCACCCAGACCAGAGAGAGTGTTTGACATACTTAAAGAGACCAATAAAATGAAAATGGACACCAATTGAGCACAAGGACACAGAAGTAATAGACCCTATCACAACCTTGAGGAAGCAGGACTGTGGACTATTCAGGCCTCTAAACACTCCCCACTCTTTAATCAATGGATTCTTCCAAGCAGCCATCATTTCAAAGGAGCTTCTTATCTACAGTATGGTTCTTCAGTGAAGAGGAATGATTCACCCTCATACTAACCCAAATCCCAGACCTTTCTAAGCAGCGCAGCAACTGCTTAAAAAGCTGAAGATGTAGGTGGAAGCAGATGTTGGGTCATTTGTTAAGGAGAGGAAGAGATGGAGATGTGGAGATAGAAGAGAACTCGAGGGCTTATCTTTAAAGCTTTCTTTCATCTTAATCTTCTGGCTGGCGAGATGACAAGGCCAGAACAAGGTTTTACGAACACAAAGACTATTTATGTGGATTAAACCCCCTGAGCAGCTCACACACTTACATCACTGTGGACCTAACTCCGAGTTTGACCATTTGGAATGATTCATCAGCTGGGCTTGTCTCTGGACTATCGTCTACATGAGTAGACTTCAGAGCTTCGGTTGAAATCTATTGGAGGACGTTCAAAGACTTATCACTCATTCTCCAGCCTCCCTGTATCTCACAGCCTCACAATCTAACTAAGCCACTTTGTGGGCAGCAACTATTTCATATAAACATCATGACACATCAGAAGTGAAAGCTTTCCCCACGCAAGTGTGACGGCTAATATTTGTCCATGTGACACTAAGGCAAATTAATAATGACAGTAGAGTAGTCCACTGTATACTTTCCATGATTCACCAGAACATATTGTTCCTCTGATTACATTAGTAATCTCTGAAGATTCCTTTTGACTACATATACAGAAAAGTCCTATCGTACAGAGATCTACTGGGACCCGCAATGTATAACTAGTTTTACCATGACTTCAGGGCCTGATGTTCCATTTATGTCTGAGTCAATTGGAGCTCCAGTTTGTGATTTTTGCCATGTCCCGTTTTTATTGTTAGGAAACAAAGCTGCCCATGTCTACATTTGGTACATCATTGCTGTCCAGAGAAAAACAAGTATCCCTAAAATGGTAACTTTACAAGAGAGGACAAAAGCATTCTTTACTTTCAATATAATGTAAAGAGATTGTATTCCAAGCAGTTTTGGAGCATTTTTATTGGTACAATTATAGTGACATTTTCACACAACGTAAAGGACAGCTACTGTGCTCAAATTATGCTAAAAATTATGCTAAAATTCACACAAAATGGGAATACAAGGTGTCCCGATTTTTGTTGAGACAGAGGGGTAGGGCGAAGTGTTAGGGCTACATGGCCCTCCAAACTGAGGTTTTTCATAGGCACTCTCCAAAAGGAGTGTTATAAGAAAAAAAGAAAAACCAGAAAGATGGCTGCACAAGTGACCAAAGAACTCCACAAATGTGAGTGTTTTCTCCAAAAATGATGACAACCATTTATTATCTTAGTTTAATGTTATGTCAATGTACAGTCATTTTCTTCATAACAAGCATTAAAAAATCACTAGTAATATACTAATGTCTTGGTAGCTAGCTAGCTAAATTTCCCATTCCACCTTAAATCGCCTCAGGCGTCAGAGCTGCTGCACCATTTAAGGTGGAACATGAAAATTCAAGGAAGAAGCTGGCTGAATAGTTGACTTCAGCTTCATATCACTGAAGAATTAGGGGTGGGCTATAATAAATAATTGCAGCAAGGTTACTGAACATTATCCTCCTCTGCTATCACTGCAGACGGGCAGGGTCATCTACAGAGCAGCGCTGGTAACCCATTAATGAAATAATGTTCTTTTTTATTTGGGGGTTGTCCCATTTCAGAGAGGAAGATTTCAACCACTACACCTTGTAACTCAGTTCCAAGGGGCACGTTGAGACTCGAAAGCAAGAGGTAGAGGTAAAAATAAGAAATGGGATTGGGCCTAAATCATGATTTAAACTTTGATAAAAAGTTGTTTATGTAATTTTTGACATCAACTTAAACAGAAAGATGTATGTAGTAACTGTTCTAACTAATTACTGGGGTCAGAGTCATAGTATTTTGGTTGAAGCCATAGGACACTCTACTCGGTGTGTTCTCATTAGCCAGTCCATTCAAATACACTCCCACTAAGTCATAACTGAACATGTCAGTACATCATCTGATTTGGCTCAGAAACTGCTTACTCTACTAGCAAACTAAAGTATGCTATTGTATTCTATCAAGAAAGTCCAGGAAAAAAGCACATCTTTTCCAAACTCTACTGTGTAGAGCACATCACCTGTTCCAGGAACATCCCTATGGAGGTTTTGAATAATAATAGCAGCAGGCACCTGAACAGCTTCTTTCCCAGTGCTTTATCTCTGGCAATCAAGGATTTCATCTCAAATACAGTCCGTTTGTACTGCTCTTCCACCCAACCACTACCTATATTCCCTTGGAAAATTGAGTTTTAATATATACAGTATATCATATTACCTTTCACACTCATGTCAGCTATATTCTGTGATATGCAACATGAAATGTCCTCATAAAAATACACTCTTAAAAAAGGTGCTTTGTTTGGAGTCATGCCATAGAAGAACCTCTAAAGAACCTCTCAGTGTATTGCTGTTTAAAGAACCATGTTTGTAAATGAGAAGTGTGAAGAACATTTTAAAAGATTTTTAGTCATTTTACAGAACCTCTAGATAATGTAAAGACTTTATTCTAAAGAGTTTTTTTTATGTCTTGAACCATACGACCAAGCCAAAACCATTTAGGACCCTTTTTTAATAGTGCATATCACATAATGGAGAACAGAACTGATTCTGTCAGAGTAATTCATGCAAGAGCATGTACAGCTGACACAAAGTATTGTTAATTGTTGTGTGGTAGCAGGGAGCTCAACTCAGTCAAAGTTGGTGTGCGAAATAAACTACTTGGCAAAGCAAATCCCATTAGTCTTAAAAAAAAATGGCAGCTGACTGTTTGGGTTGGAGAAAATGGAAAAAGCGGTCACAACCACAAAGCCTGGACAGCCAGAAGGCACCGAATGTTTCTGGCTGCAATATTACGACTGTTATCACAGACAAAGGTTGCAAGGGTGAGAGCAGGTCACTTTACGATACATGTACCAGGAACAACCTGAAAACATTGGATACTACATGGAAGGAAATGAAAAGCTGTCACTTTGCTTGAGTTCATAAAATTTAGAGTTCGGCACGAAGCTTGACCAGGGAGTGAGCAGACAATAACACAGGCGAAGCAAAGACAGTTCATTTCAAATCTACACCGTCACCGCCTTAGCCATCAGCAAATGCCTGTCAGAAGGAATTAAAGTTGTATTCTGATATTTCTTCTTGGCTATGATTACAAAGTCAGCTGTGCCATTGTTTCATGAACACTTGAGGATGTAGTGGACATTCTCTGGCTGTGAAGTACGTTAGACTGATATAAGTGTCACTTTCCAATAAACTTCCAAACCTAAGTGGATTTGATTGGAAGGAACTCTTTGTTTGAGGTGCATGGGTATTAGAACTGATTGAGCTGGAGTTTAATCAGTAGTTCACTCAGACATATGACTTCAAGTATGAAGTGATATTAGTTTCACACTGGATTGGCCCAAGCTGCTTTGAAATGTGTGCTCCATTAAACCGTATCTCTGTGGATCAGATGTTTTTGTTTTATAGCCTTCCAGTTCTAGAAGGTAACAGATTTTGTTATTAAAGAACCCATGTCCTACATATTTCTTGTATTTTATTTTTTCCCCGGAGGTCTACTCAAGGCATTTTTGTGGTTTTATGTACCAAAAACAGTCAGAATTCATTTGTACATGGCTTCTTTTTTATTCCTGTTTTGTTACTGTTTTTGTTTCTCTGCCGTTAAGACT